CATCTTCCAACTCTGGGTCAATCTCATCCTCAGCTTCCGACAAGACGAGGTAGAGATGTTCCGCTGACAATACGCGTATCTTGGACTCTTGTCAGCCACATCCAACTAGACTCACTCAGACCACGAGAGCTCGCTCGACTTACACGAGGAAAACGGTGAGCGAGGAATAACTGCAGATGTTTGATCGCTGTGACTTTTAATTGCGTATTAGCTACCAAGGCAGCTACGACGCTGCCAAACCCAAAGATCAGACCCAGCTCTCCCTCTCATAGCAGATCATGTGTCTTACAGCTTCATTGTCGCAATCAGACGCTCGATAGACTTGATTTGTCCGATACTCCTACACGCCAAAGCAAGGATCTTGCTACATCTGCTTTAGGTTTCAGTACAGATCATACCCTGTATAGCGACGCGCTACTCACATGTCATCCCGAACGACGTTCCACTCTCTCCAGCCAAGCTGATCCGCTGCCACGAGGTGTTGAGCCGTTGTCACGCTAGGGATGAAGACTCTGTTGGCACTGATACTGGCCGCAAGCAAATTTTGAAGATCCCGTAGAACATCGATCAGGAATTTCCCATCCTTGGACAGGTAGTCTATTAAAGGTTGCGTGGCCAATGTTGCCTGCGGAATAATTCAGCAAGAAAGTCAACATGAACAGGAAAGATTGCTTACAATCGACTCGGCCGGGCTTCCTGCAGTCTGCACCAATCCACTGATCAGACCCCGCCTATATTTCGTCTCCAACAACGGCATAGCAGAAGCATACCAATCTCTCGGCTCGAGATGTCGGAACCGCTCAAGGCTGGCAACTCAGCGCATGTCCCACTATGGTCAATTGAACTTACTGATCGACTCCTGGATTGCAATCCAGACTCAAAGCATCTATCCCTGACCATTCCCATGCCTCGTTCGCTCCAGCTTGACGCATTTTAGCTAACGCAGCCGCAGCTTCTGCTCGCACAACCTCCAACTTCTCCACGGCCTGCTTGACAATTCCCTCGACAGCCTCTTCAAACTGGTCTTGTGATATAAGACTGAGCCGCTCGTCTGGCTGTTGTTCAGCAGTGAATGCGATCGTATCGCCAAGAGCTGCCAGACCAACAATACGGATCCATGACCCTACATCGCCGCGCTGGTCTGTCGAATAATCCGCCAAAGAGGCTATGAAGGCTGAAAAAATTGAATGAAACTTGGTTGTTTGAACTGCTTTAATTATAAGTGTAGGTCTTATTTAAGCTTAGAGACGAACCCAGCAGAATCCCTTCTGGTGAAGTTTGACGAACAATATCAGACAAGGACCGAATAGCATACCGCCGCGTCTCAACATCAGACTCGTGGATATCAGCTCATTTCTAGAGTTCTTCTCAGTGCGCATACCTTTGCTATAGGGTCCATAAGCCCCAGCAATGCCTTGACTGCCTTTTCGACAGTCGAAGGGCATTGGGCATATCGGATCGAGCCCAGCGCAAGCGTAGCTGCCTGTTTTTGGCCAGCCCTCGCAGATCGCAGATCCCCCAACAACCTAAATGAAGTCAACGATGCCTCTTTTCTCAGTTTACTTACTTCTCGACATCCTTGGTACAATCCCGTAACTCGCTCAAACGACCAAAAGTCCGTGACAGAGCTTCCTGGCATTCCGGCTCGCGTCTACGCATACTTGCTTCTATAATATGATCCAAGATTTTCTGCAGCTTGGTTTCGCCGGCCGAGGACGGGCTTAGACATGCGGTCAACAAACCACATGCTGCTTGGAGTATTTCTGCTGCGCCGATAGAGACGAAAATTGAGGGTCGGACGCTTGAGAGAGCAAGCATAATCTGCGGCTCATTAGTCAACTCTCAAGACATGAAAAGCTACCTTCATGCGCCTGTCATCGTCATCTTTCAAGAGTCCAGCTACCTGACCCAGCGATACAAGGGCTCCATGTACGCTCGTCGAGTCAAGTGAGGATAGCTCGTTTATCTGGCGTCAGATCATTCTTTGACTCATACTAACCTCCCGGTTGATAGACTCTTCCAGATCTGCAAGCTCACTCAGCTCGAGCAAGCTTCGCAGAGTTGTTGCCCCAAGCGTCCGCATTGCAATATCCCAATGCCTCAGAGTGATGTTGTGCAGGTGATTTCTCAAAGCTGTGCGATACACCTCGTGTCTGAGGCATCAGCACGGTTTCTGAATGCTGACTTACACAGCTACGGCTGGCGCTGCTGCTGTAAAAGCCATTCGTCGGATGCTGACAGAGTAGAAGTCCGTCTTGCCCAGAACATCGATACCTTCGGGATACAAGCCCTTCTCGTTAACTAGCATCGCATTTCAAGCTTACCAATCTCCCGACACCTTCCTGATATGCTGCACTCGCCGCTCGTCGCACGCCAACTTCGCGATCAAAGCACGCCACGCATACTAGTGCAGTGGCAATGCCCGGTGCGAAGGATCTAAACGCGTTTGGCGAACATGCTCGCGATAAAGACCACACGACATACGCGGCAGCATCACGGACATTCGCACCGATCGAGTGAGATGCTCGACGGAGATCAAATGTGAGAGCCTGTGATTAGTTGGGATCACCGAGGACAGTTACCTTGAGCACCCAGTTGACTGCCTCGCCTATAGCTTCCCCTGCGAGCAGACCTCGCCTAGCCATCTCTGCTAAAGCTAGGCATACGCCATGCCATCTAGCTTCTCCTCTAGTCGTTTCTATACCGCCGAAGCCCATTCCTGTCCCGACGGCATTCCCTCCAGGATCAATGATGGTACCGAACGGTGATTCCAGTACTGGTTCATCCTCAGTACCGGAGAAGAGCGCGATCGTGGCAAGCACGATTTGTTCGGAGAACGATGCAGGAAGAAGTGCGGTTATTCGAGCAAGGTATTTTGCGGAAGAGTACCGAACGACGGTGTCCTATCTCTGTCAATCGGCAGCTTGTATCAGAACTCACCTTGTCGCCCAGTGCACTCATCAGGTCATCCAACTCCTCTTCTATGCCATCTGGCAGCTCCTCGTTGACGCCGTTACCGTTGGCGAGACTTGCAGTCCACCATCTCCCTTTCGCTTTGATCACGAGTTTGCGAATCAAGCTCGAGTCGGCGGCAGTGCGAGATCCTCTGAGATGGGGAAGTAGCTTGTCGTCCATGAAGTCCTTGAGTAGGGGTACATGTCGAGAAGCAAGGAGTGAAGGTAACACAGCCAGTAGCTCTAAAATAGATGCAATGAAATTCGCCTCGGCGTCTCGTTCGCCTTCGATAAGCTCGGCGGCCGCCCAGTCGAGAAATCCAGCAAGGCCTTGAACACAGTCCTCCCTCGCAAATAGACGTGCAAGCACAAGCCCAGCAAAGGCACCTTCCTTGCCTGGACGATCGAGCACCGGAAGAGTAAGGAGGACGACCTTTCTAGCGAGCTCAGCCGTTGGCGTGGAGAATAGACGCTTTGACGCAGGGAGGTCGATAACTGTTGAAGCCGCAGGTTCCGACGGAGACAAGGCGGAGAGGCTGAAGGGAACGGTGAGGAGCAAGGCGAGCCAGAGAAGGAGAGCCGAGCGGAGTTCCCATGACTGTTGTCCAGACACATAGGGGTGGTGCGGCGTTTCTGGAGTAGATGAAGAGCTGGGTTGCGAAGGTGGGGAGAGGAGTGAGATCAAAACTGGGAGATGCGAGATTGACGAGGGGAAGTGGGGAACTATCATTAGCTCCGTGCGAACAGCAGACATACTGACAGCCTTCCAACCTCGTACCCTGACGACCCAGTTGATGACCACCCCAAGGCGAGACAATCGCCTTGACGATACTGGAGCCGGGTCGCCTTGTGCTTCTGCCAGGATGTTCAGGTGATGTGCCAAGAGTCTCATCATGGGTGATACAATCTCATCAAGGTATGGATCAAGCAGTCCAGGGAGGGGCAGATAGTAGTTGAGCTATGATATATGAGCCAGGTCTGATTCATCAAGCGTTATACTGACGATACGACCTATGAAAGTGACCTTGTGTCGCTCCTGTAAGTCCTCTGCTTCGCTCGGTTCGGTCGAAATATCGATAGCCAAGAACGGCTCGATGAGTTGTCTGAACTCATCGCGATGGGCAAAGTGGGTATAAGTCAGGTCACTCTCGTCTTCCAAGCTTGTCGACATGGTTCCACAGCCACTCGAGTAGATGTGTAGCGTGTAGAAGAGAGTGGTGATTGGACTATGAAAGAAATAAAGAACCGGCGCGTTTCAGCCTCCACTCTCGCGTGGACAACGTGCATCTACTCTGGTTTCGCTGATGCTATGCATACCATATACTTGGGCGTCTTCATGATCTTCGAGAGATATCTATTCCACGGATAGAATGATATTATTGCATAGTTGAAGTGATAGTGAACACGGAGGGAAGTGTACCAAGGAGAAGCGACAACCCCTAAATATCGGCCCCCATATTTGACAGCTCTCAACGGGATTGCATTGCTGAGGAGGGTTCGAGAAAGGATGGGCTATGCCCGGCTTCCCGAAGCTGTCTAGGCTCTGCACGGATCAGATACATTGCCTCTCCGCCTTTCGCAGTACACCTAGCGCCACACGCTCGTCAATGCTTCTTGAGGTATATCACTATCGACGCGACTATAAGAGGTGTTGAGTGGGTCTGAGGTTCCTCAGATGGACATAATTAAATAGTCTCCAAAGAATGTTTGTAGCTGCGGCTGGCTAATCACTTATATGCTGCTGGACCAAGCGGTCAGGCATTGTCCAATGCATCACCCCTGACATACAGCTCGTCTGATGAATCTCCATTTCAACGTCTCCTCCAAATCGAGTACCTCTCCTTTTGTCCCCATCACGACTTTCCCAGCCGATTGACAGCTGCGGCTGTTCCTCCCCACTTTCTCATTGCCAGGTACGGACGGGCGTCAATTTCGGAGAGAGAGTACATTAGAGAAAGAGGAGACAAGAAAGAGATGAAAGGGAAATGTGCTTCACCCATCATTATATAGTTTCCAATCAGAGACCCTGAATTGCACTGAAAAGAAACGCAATTGGTGTATCGGTAACATTAGCGTTTCCCATCAATCAATCAAGGTACGCTAGCAGAGGGTTCGACTCCCTCATTGCGTATACGACATTCCCTTTTGATGGCTCCTTTTTTAACCCACACCTCCCTATTGATGGCACACATCAACAGTTCTTGCGTGGTAGGAATGTCAGAGGCCACATGCTCGTCATAGTCTCGGCTCGGCTTTTCACGGAGAATGACTTTGATCGGAACAATTCTTGGTGTCCGATGGCCGAGAACACCGCTGTTTCAGACCAGCTTTTTGTATTTCGTTACATGCCACCGTTAGGCCGTGATGAAATACAGGAACCATCACAACTCTTCTCCTAGCAACCAGACAGGCTCCGTCCTCTCCCTCATGATCGTCTCCGCTCTTCCGAGGACACCATCCTCTTCAAACTCCCTCTCCACGGACATTTGTAAATCCCCGTAGTCTTCAAGCTTGTGCGCCGCGTCCATCGCACTTCTGACGTCGAAATCACAACACTCTGAGGCAAACGATACTTTGTTGGGGCTCAGTCGGGCATAGACATCACGAGTAGCGTCGTGTCTCTTTGATTCGTAGGCATAGTCAGGTCGACCGAAAGGGTCTGTCGTAGGTTCATCAGAGGGATCTTTTGGAAAGAGGGTGGCTAGCATCTCCATTGCACGGGCTTTCACTGTGAGATGGAATGGTCAATGATGGTTAATGTGATATTCGCTCAAGTTCAAGCAAGCTCACAGTGATGAACCTTTGCAGACAGTCGGTTGGTGATGAATGGGTGATCGATGATAGCGTCTATGGAGCAAATTGTCCATTGAGCAAATTTCAGCTTGAGGCCTACAAGACCGAGATTGAAAAATAAGGCAAAGTATCTCGGAGCGCTCGTGAGCTGTCCGTTCAACCATAACAGCGGTGCTACTCACAGACTACTCAGTCCTGTAAATCTGGCTTCCCAACGTGGCATGTAGAGCTCCAGTGGACACCAGGGAGCGAGTCTGACAACGGCCTGTAGATATGCCCATCCCGCTTGAATGAAATCTCTTCTCCTATATTGCCTACCACGCAGCTCGTTTCAGCTGCTGTTCCGAACGGGCAATTCAGGATGGAGCCACTCACTGATCACCAGCAAACTTCCAAACTTCCGCTTGTCTGATCGCCAAGTCCAGCTCCATAATCGTCGCGTTTTTCTTCCTGCGTCTCATGAATGCCGTACACATTTCAAAAGGTCTGTGCGGGCTTGGTCGACCCAGTAAACAACACTCTCCAAATGTGATTGCGAGAATAGCCATCATGACAAGATGTTTATGTCGGAGGTAAAACCACGTATCTGCATCACGGATCATCCGTCCATCTGATTCGAACCAGATTGGATCATCTTGATGGGTATGATTTCTCCTCAAGAGCTCACGCCACATTTTACGTGCTTGACTGCACAATTGTTTGTCAGTAAAATATAGTCTATTTTCCACTTATCCTTGGGGCTATGACTGACCATTGTCTGAGAAGGAGGAGAGCCGTGACCCTTGCTTTAACCCCATCAACCATCTCCTCCAGACTTCGATTCCCCTGTACAGTCTCCTCCACCTCCCATAAGCTCCATAGAGTCATTGCAGCGGCAAAACGACTACGTGGTAAGCGCCATGAACCAATACCGATGAGTTGATCCAGATCGTCACCGAAAGACCGGACGTCATGGCCGTAAGTCTCCAGGCTCGGATCCAGCTCGGTACCCATTTGTTCTAACTGACGAGAGCGACCAGTGGAATTTCGAAGCCAAGCCATTATGATTGACTGACAATGATAGAGGTCTTATGGAGTGTAGAGAAAGAAATTCAGACCAAAGTAAACGGGCTTCAGGCGTAAGCTTCTCAGCAGGATGGTGAGAGGCTCGGCTCCTCGTCGCAGCAAGAAACTGAAGTAGAGCTCAGGCAATATACAGTGTGAGAGGAACAGACCAACAACAACAGCAAAGAGTGTAAGATAGCGCAAAGAGAAGGAAAGGAAGAAAGAAGTGTGGTCGTGTCTAAAATCCTGGTACCCTTCAGTGGCGAATTTCTACTCTCCTGTAACAACACGCCAATTCTATGCAGAGCAATACATGTCGACGGACAAGGTACTGCACGACTAAATGAACCAATTGTGACAAGCACCGGCCTCACTTTTCTTCTACCCAAGGGTCTCTCGGAACCGCTTCTCTGCATCAAGGATTTGTTCGGGCTCAAAATCTGCCCCCTCAGAAACCAATGCACTCGCCTTTATGAACGCCGCCACCCAGTTCGTGAAGCGAAGTAGACGCCCCATCCGGTCTCTCTTTATCCATATCGACGCGGCATTTTCTAGTCGCCGACTGGGATCTTCATCCATTTCAAGTGCCCTCAAGTTTGTCATAAGAGCGCGAAATTCCACTACGATGGCCAATCAGCTCATCTGTGGCTATCGTGTTTCAGCGTTAGCAGCCTCACTTTGCATAAAGGCGTTGCGTTGCCCGGCGTTCAGGAATGGATGATGTTGGAAAGTGCGGCTTATGCTGATAACAGTAAGATGGTCCTTTAGCGAGCTCATAGACTGAGCGAGAATGCAGTTTAGATCGACAACGCTAAGAGATCAGCACAAAGTCCCAGCTGTGGGAACGTACACTGGAAGCAAGCCAGTCAGGTCCGCCTCCCATTGAGGCATATAGAGTTCGAGCGGATACCACGGAGCCAGAATGGCGAGTCCAATGAGGGCTTTCTGAGCTGCTTGATAGTAGTCTCCCTCCGATAGATACCTGACTCCAAGGATCAGCTGAGGTTCCCGCTTTATTGTCTGAATTCACCTTTCGGCTTGCGAACGTGTGCTCTGCGCGAGGGAGACCTGCTCATTCAAGTAATCCAATTTCGCATCTTTTTTGTTTCGCCACAAAAGAGTACTTGGACGGTTCGAGCTTGACAATCCTGAATAGGGCTCACGCAAGAGGAAATCCTCCGCTAGGTAAACGACGTGAAGCTGGCGCATAACGATTTCTTTTCCCCGGAGATAGATCCAGGTTTGGGCTGAGCAGAAAGTTTCGTGACGAAGTCTGCGCTCAGTCTCTGAGTCCATAATATCTTTGCGTTCCTGTCCCAAATTGATAAATTTTTCGATGACACCAGCCTCACTGAAGCCGTCAACATCATTGTAGAATGTGGAAGGAGTATGACATACTTTACGCGGTCTTGTATAGTAATCTCCGTACGCTTAGTGAGATCGCGGAGGAAGCCGGGCTCATCTCTTTCGTCAGGCGCAGCAACGTCCCATAACCTCCATAACATCTCACCAGCACCGAATAGTGACTGAGGCAATCTCCATGTCCCGATAGCCACCATTCGCGGATCGTATTCGTGCGGTTGAATGGGCAAAGTGGCCGCCGTTCGGTAGGTTGGCGAACGGCAGTCTAAGTCTATATGAAGCATGTTGAGGTGGCGTGTACGACCGCTCGTTGCAATTGAGTAGGACATTGGCGAAGGGATAGGATGAATTATACAATCTGAGGAATCGGTAGTCGTCACGGGCAACCGGAAAGAAATCGAGCGATCTGTGAGCGTAAGGGGACTACGATCACATCGTTAGTGATTTCATCCAGTATTGCGAGGAGCTCACAAACGACAAGAAAGCTGTAGAAAGCTGTATAAACAGAGTCCGGACTCCGAAAGAAAGGGAAAAGGAAAGGAAAGAAATGTAGGACAGGTGAAAAGGGTCAGTGGCGAATTTACAGTACAGGACAGCAGTGGCAATTCTCGACTTCTCGGCATTTGACACGCTCAGTCTAGACAACACCATACATCGCACAAGGCTAGCATACAGTATATAAGAAGCTTGTCATGATGAGCCTGCACTTTCTCCGTCCGTAGGAACATCCGGCGTGCTATTATTTCTTGGTGCGAATCTCTCGTAATACTAACATAATCAATTAGCATCTTCCTGCACTTTGCCCATGCCTCACTCACTCTTCGTGCGAAATCATGATGGGCCGGGAGTTTGTCCGCTAATGAGTTGATATCTTGATCTTCGAATTTAGGCATCTCGCCATCATCTTCTGCTGTTTTCTCCATCGTGATTAGCTGTGACGAGATGTGAGCCAAAAATCCTCTGTTCTGTTTACTCTTTAGACTTACTCTTCTTCCCCATTTCCCGAAATCCTGAACACTACCATCCCCAACTTTGAGCTCCCGCATGCCTTCGACGACAGGAATATCGATCGCATCGTATTCCTCAGTCACCGTTGGAAGAAAGAAAACCAGTCGACCACGTGGAACGAGAAGATATCGAGCGAGAAGGACGAGATCGAGTGTGAGGTTGACGAGTTCGTATGGGCGGAATGGTGGGACGTAAGTGGATTTACTGAAGACAAGGTCAGCACGAAGATTCCGGCTCATATGATTGATCACAAACGTGTGTGCAAATGTGCCGTCTTCAAGCACGTATGGGTCCTCTCTAAGTGGTGTTTTGCGTGTTGATTTCTTCCCAATACGCTTCGCTCCAGCCCGGACGCCATCTACACGAGCGTCAGCTTTTTCTCCTCCACAGTCTACGTGAGCTAGCTGACAAGGAGGATCAGTGATGATTGCATCCACCCAGCCTCCCCGACGTATTGGTGATCTAGTCACGTCAAATGTCAAAAGGTCGAGGAATTTATCTGCCACGCCATATTGCGCAGCTGCACGAAGCATACCGGGAGTGACATCAGGTCCTTTTGCTAATTTATAATCAGCACTATGATGAACGAAGCGGTACAGCACACACATTTCCCCCGCATTTGCCTTCCGTCTATATCTGATCCCATGACATAGGCTCCAAATGTTGCGCATGCGTAGAGCATGGATCCAGTCCCAGCAAAGGGATCGTAAATGATCTTTCCTGTTCGAGCCTAGGCTGCATGAGCTCTAGCTTGGAGAATTGGTGAGCTCATTTACGAGGGTTTGATTTGCCATCAAGAACCCCATCTCTGCTTCCATTGAGGTATTGCCGTAATACGCCCTAGTCTTGACTGATTGCTCCTTGACCAGCGGACGGGCACGGGAAAATCCTATCTGAATCACGGTCAGCCAAACGACACTTGAA